TGGGCCTGAAGTGTTTGCATGCACCCAACTGCCTTTGGCCTGTGTTTGGCCCGGTACCCGTATCCAGCCCAGGGCCTGCTTCACATACATTCACACAGGCGGCCCAGGGCGTGGGTTCACTCAACCAATTGGCACTGCGCAACTGCACGAATTTCCCTGAGTTGCGTGGTGGCCAGAATAGGGCCCTGAGGGCCTCGTCGAGCCTGCCTTCACTTAGGGCGGCCGACAGACTGCGGAATGGGCCTTATGGGGCTCCTAGAGGCAGTGGCCTCGCACACCTCTCTCCCAAGCCAGGCCAGTGGAGACCCGTGTTACGCTTTATAAGAGTAAGGGATACCCATGCCCATTGCTGAGGGCAGCAATAATAATTGTCATGTGGAGCAAAAAGGTAGAGAGCGAGAGTGTGTTTTCTGTATGCTGCTTCCATGATGCAAATGTGGGGAATCTGGGATTCATTGTTCGTGAATCTGGGACTGATTGTTTGCCAGATCTCATTGCGTGCATGTATTGCAGCTATTTTAAGGTGTTTACATTCGTTCCTCGTTGTTTTCTTCTGTGATTGTTTTTTCCGTTTTGCACAGCGTGAAGCGTCACAAGTCCATGATTTCCATCTTCATATCTTCAAATTCTTTGCCAGCTTATGCTAAGGCGCCACACACTCTTGCGGGCAGGCGTGCTGCTTCCAGACAGCCTGGATCTGGGATGATGGAGCTCATTGGTGCACCTCTGGTGGTTTCTCTTTTCACATTATTATTGATGTCAAGATGCTCGGCCCAGAATCCGGAAAGTATGTGTGAGACCCCACCTTCCCCCCCTCCCCCCACCCCCAAAAAAAAAGAACAGAAAAGTGATAGGCAGTGCAGGGAAGTCCATTCCGAGTTCTGTAAGGGAGGCTCTGTAACGGATGTTGTACTGTTGCCAAACATGCCCCACCTTCTTGCATGGGAGTAAAGGGAATTCCAGTTGGTCCTCGACAGAGACAAGCATGGACCACGCACACTGTCCTTAATTCACCTTAACCTCTTAGCCTACCTTTGTTTTAAATTTAGAATTTTGTTGTTCTGGTCATCTGATTGTATCTGTTCCCACGACAGCCTCAGCAGGAGCTGCAGCGCCAGACCCTGGCTCGCCCTGGCATTGGCAAGAGCAGCCTCCTGCCTCGCCCTGCAGCTGCAGGCAGTCAGGAGGCAGGCCGAGTAGTACATAGGGAGTTCCTATGCACTTCACGGGTAGGCAGAAGGCAGGAGGCAGTCTTCAGGATTCGGCAGCAGCACTCTGGAGGAGCGCTGCAGRAGTAGCGTTAGCGCTAGCAGTAGTCTTCAGCGCTGGGCGCTAGTAGCTGCAGGAGTAGTCTTCAGCGCAGGGCGCTAGTAGTAATAGTAGTAGTGTTGGAGAGAGATGGCTGGCGGAGTCCAGTGAGACTTACCTGTGGCGCCATAGCTCCAGCTCCATCTTCGAGGTACCTGCATCAAGGCGCCAGCTTMACAGGTTAGTACCGGACTGAGAGAGCGAGAGAGAGAGTTCTTCTTCTTCCTCTTCTAAGTCCACCATCTCTTCTTCACCCTCTCGCTACCTGACTTCTCAGTATCTGCGGACTACGAGAGAGAGAGAGAGAGAGAGAGAGAGAGAGAGAGAGAGAGAGAGAGAGAGAGTTGTGACTTTGGGACTTGACGACATTGGATGCAGACTCGACATTGGGATTCAGACAGTTGACGAGGGATTATTTGGGGCCTGTGCCGAAGACTTGGCGTTGACGACATTCCCACCTTCCTCTCTTCTTCGTCTAACCCCCCTCTTCTTCGTCTGTGTATGGTCGGGGACTGGCGCATTCTTCCTGTGTGAGCGCCAGGCCCCTTCACACCATGGAATGATGATGATGTATGTTTGAGGCTGCATTGCAACATTGATTGTTCGGATCATTGGTATCTAAGTCTTCCGCTACGCTATCTTGTACTTTGTGAGAGAGGTCGGTTCTTGTTCTGGTCTGCACCTTCACGGTATGCAACACCAGGACTATAGACATAGAGGGRGAGAGAGAAGAAGGCAGACGAGAGAGGGGGAAGCGTGAGCTATGGTGACACTGACCTGTTGAGCGCTGTTGTTGACGTTTGGCAGCTGGCGCTGATGAGCGCCAGACTTGGAATTCATGTTGATCGAAGAAGACTTGTAACTCTGTTCAGCGCTATACACTTTGAACTCACGATGTTCTCTCTCTAAATCTGGATCTGATAATTGAGTTGAGCTTCCTGGTTCTCATTCATCTTCTATTGGGCTTTGTGTGAAACTTCGCAATCTGTGAAATCAGTGTATATGCATGTGATCTGATGCACTCCAGCAAGTCATGAACAGTCGGGTTCATTGCATATTCTCATAAGGGACGCTGGACTCGGTTCCCAGCACGTGCTGCTCCCGACAAATAGACTAGAGCATCGTTCCGTTTCGAAAAAAAATCAAAAGAGAGAGAGAGAGATGTGGGAGCACACTGACAAATAATTCTGAAGGGATAAATGTCTTATCCAGTACACCTGAAGCTATATAGCATATTGTTCTTAAACCACTGCTGCACAACGCTAGTAGACCACATATCCGCAGTTTGCACTGCAGAACTATGGTGTACTGGTGCATTATATATAGAGTGTTGTGCTGTAGTGGTTTAAGAACAATATGCTATATAGCTTCAGGTGTACTGGATAAGGCATTTACCTGTTTGGAATTGTCTGTCAGTGTGCTCCCACCTCTCTCTCTCCTCCTCCTCCTCCTCCTCCTTTTCTCTTCCCGTATTGCTCCCTTAAGTGCGGAGCYGYGGTAAACTGGTGCATTATATGGAGAGTGCCGTGCAGTAGTGGTTTACAAACAATATGCTATATAGCTTCAGGTGTACTGGATAAGGCATTTATCCCTTTGGAATTGTCCATCAGTGTGCTCACACCTCTCTGTCCTCCTCCTCCTCCTCCTCACCTTCTCCCCATATTGCTCCTTCACGAGTCTTGGCATACCGAATCTGGGTGGGAGTATGCCACTCAACCACAGATCCAGTGTTTGAGATGGATCTCAAATCAGGACTATTGGCTAGAGTGCGGACTGCAGAGCTGTGGTCTGCTGGTGCATTATTTAGAGAGTGCTTCAGGTGTACTGGGAAGAGTGCTGAGCGTTTATCCCTTTGGAATTCAGTCCATGTGCTCCTACCTCTATCTCTCTCCTCCTCCTCGCCTTCCTCCTGTATTGCTCCCTTACTGTCCTTATCATACCAAATCTGTGTGGGAGCATACCAATCAACCCCAGATCCAATGTGTCAGAGAGTGGACTAAAGATTATTAGTTACTAGTCTTGATCTGAGATCCACCCTCAGATATGCTGGATCTGTGGTTGAGTGCTGTACTCCCTCCCAGATTTGGTATGCTGAGGATAGCAAGGGAGCAATAAAGGAAGAAGGTGGGGAGGAGGAGGAGGAGAGGAGAGGTGGGAGCACACTGACAGAGAATTTCAAAGGGATAAATTCCTTATCCAGTACACTGGAAGCTGTATAGCATATTGTTCTCAAGCCAATACTGCACAACACTCTCTATCAATGCACCAGTATACCACAACTCTGCAGTCCTCTCTCTCTCTCTCTCTCTCTCTCTCTCTCTCTCTCTCTCTCTCTCTCTCTCTCTCTCTCTCTCTCTCTCTCTCCACCCACAGCCCCCACCCCCTGCCTTCTGGCATTTAGGGCCTCTCCTGGAGGTTACAGTTCAAGTTACCCCAGTATCACASAGTCAAACTGCTCTTTGAGCTCTATACCGCTGGTCAGCTGGCCCTCTGGCCAGCCGTCAACCACACTTGAAATGAACTCTGTAAAATTAATAATTATCCCACCGCTGGTCAGCTGGCCCCTCTGGCCAGCCATCAACCAGGCCTAAAATAAACTTCGTAAGATTATCCTCGAAACTGACCCCAGAACCGACACCAAAACTGACCTCAAACCCTCAGGGCCAGAATTGTGTTGCTCGCCTGAATTTAGGGTTATTTTAATGCGAAGAGTGGATAGGGAGGTATTCCCCATACCTGTGACTGACGCAAATGAGGATGAAAAGCTGGACACTTCGGATCTATGCTGGACGATGTGAAATTGTGAAATTGACTCGTCATTGCAATGCTTGTGTGTTTCCTTTTTGGCACTTTGGTCAGTGGTTACTTTGAGAGCTGCGATGAAATCGTGGACGAATGGGGCAGCTGTATTGGGAAGCAGCTGGAATGCTGGGGACAACCCTTGTGTAGGATGGACAGGAGTGGAATGCAATGAGAATAACAAAGTGGATACTTTGTAAGTACCTCTGTGAATATTGATTGCAGAATCAGAACTCCATGATGGCTACGTCTTTGTTGCTCCCCTCGCATCTCATCTCTATTTGTTGATTGGGTTTTTTGCAGTGAAGTATACATCAATTTCTTTCTTCCTTTAAAAGGGACAGTTGTTACGGACTCCGCCAGGGCTCGATCCCTGGTCTATCTTTTTGCCGTTTCGGCTGCATTCCGTTTTCGGCCTGGCACCCTTTTTCCAAACCCCTCCTTTGGTACCGTAGGATTTTGGACAACTGGTGCCATGCTGCAATTCGGGCGCCACTTTCAAAACTGCATTTTTCAGTTCTGCCCTTGGGGCTTCGCCATTCGGAATCCAAGACTTGGACTTTGTGTCTTTGCCACTGTGTCTGCGAGTGAGTGAGTGTGTGTGTGTGCTCTTACTCTCTCCCTCTCTCTCTCCTCCCCCTCGGCTCTTCCTGTTTTCCCTCAGCCTCGCACTCGTCGCACTGGTATCGGAGCGGTTTGAACCCGCCCGACCCACCCTGCTTCGTCGTCACCACCTGGCCATCATGAGCATCATCGTCCTCATCGTCGTCATAGTGCCACGTCATCGTCGTCATCATCGCCGTTGTGCCACTTCATCATCGTCATCGTCGTGCCACGTCGTTATCGTCACCATCGCGATCGTCGTCATCGTGCCACGCCACCATCGCCGTGCCCGTCACCTCGCCGTGCCATCCTCGTCATCGTCGTTGCTACCTATGTGCAGATAAGTAATCGACGACAATTTTTTTTTGTTTTTTTTCTTCTTCTTCTTCTTCTTTCTCTTCGTTCTTTTCTTCTTCTTCTTCTTCTTCTTCTTCTTCTTCTTCTTCTTCTTCTTCTTCTCCTCATCTTCCTCTTCTTCTTTCCTTCTCCCCCCC